AAAAACTTTGGGTAGTATGGTAGCACCTCATGTTCTTTAATCAAATCCACATACCTAAATCCCTTTACAGTATATCAGTGAGAACATGTACCAGGGCTTTGAATGTGAACTGTACAGCATATTATTGGCAGATCAGGTCTAGGTTATATGAATCAAAATGATAAATGAAGTTGTTAATGGCTTGTTATTGGCTTAATTTAACAACAACTTTCAGGGTGCCTGGGTGATACATTTGTCATAGTGTTAACATATTTCCACATTGAAAAAAAAGTGTCTTTTTTCATCTGATCAATCTTTTCACAGCAAAAAACCCTGGTCAGCCCCTTCACATTGTCTATGTGCCATCCCACCTCTACCACATGCTGTTTGAGCTCTTCAAGGTACAGGACCCTACAAACCTGAAAACCAGACATTAACCTTATTAACCTTCACCTTGTGTCTGCTCAATCACTCTGTAATCCACTGTGTATTTTCTCTCTCAGAACGCCATGAGAGCTACGGTAGAGACCCATGAGACGAGCCCAACACTGCCCCCGATCAAAGTGCGAGTTTCACTGGGAAGCGAGGACCTCACCATCAAGGTAGATCATGACATAGAGAGTTAATACAGACCACAACTTTTGCATTAAAGGCAGTATTGTCTGCGGGGATTCATGGAGAGGCTGGTTTTACGATTTTAATAACAAACAAGTGTTGTTGCACCATGATGAAGAGTTCACTGGACGTGAGCCTGCTGGGAGAACAATGAGAGGCCCCTTGAAAATTTTAACATACCTCTCCTTTATTTTTAGATGTCTGACAGAGGAGGTGGAGTCCCTCTGCGGAAGATTGAGCGTCTGTTCAGCTACATGTACTCCACAGCTCCCAGCCCAGTCCACATAGACAACTCTCGCAATGCACCACTGGTGAGACTCACTTTATTGCTCTGGTCTTCACTGTTGACGAGTCTTAGTCCGTACACAGTGTGCTACGAGACTACATGCTTGTTAAACGTGCATTCGGTTCACAAAAATGTTGTATGCTGTTTCAAACTGGGATTAAAGGTAAACTAAATTGTAATTCTCTATGTTCTAATCAGAGACACGCACAACTGAGCATGGTTGCAAATTAGCTTATTACAAAGAGGAATGCAGTCAAGAACATTTCACTGGATTAAACTGTTACCACATGAGAAGCTGAAGAGCTGCTACAAAGCAAACCATCCAGAGTGTCCACTGTATGTTTTATAATCTTGTAATATTTTTGGGACTGGCCCAGATAGGCTCATCTGTATTCATACTGCAACGCTGTTATTTTTCCTTCCTGCCTCCTTCCTTCAGGCTGGATTTGGCTATGGCCTGCCCATATCCCGTCTGTATGCCAAGTACTTCCAGGGAGACCTGCAGCTCTACTCTATGGAGGGCTACGGCACCTCAGCTGTCATATACTTGAAGGTGAGAACAGCTCTACTTCCACACAGAAACAACCTTGAAAGCCAAGTAGGTGTAGAGTGTAGAGCATACAAATGTGCTGTCAACTACACGTCCTGGATTGTCTGAGTGGTGGCCGGTGTAAGGTTATTATGTTATAAGGACAATGATGTGTGTCATTTTGTAAGTTATAACTCACCACATGTCCCATGTTATAAAACAGAGCAAAGCTTGCTGTCTTCATTAAGCGAGGTTTTCTCATTAGCAGTGAGAACCAACCTGGACCTGACTGTCGTTCAAGCATACAGTATGTCTGTGTGATAAGGCTATTAAGTTCCCCTCTGTCCTGCATCACAGGCTTTGTCGTCGGAATCAGTGGAGAGACTTCCTGTTTTCAACAAGTCTGCCTTGCGGCATTACCAGGCAACCACAGAGGCTGATGACTGGTGCATGCCCAGCAAGGATCCAAAGAAACTGGGCAAGTATGAGAGGACTCGGTAATGGTGAGCCAAGGGAGGAAGTGGAGGACTAATATTTAAATATTTTGAATAAAAGAATAATAGCATTAAGAAGGAGAGGGTCCACGTTGGAAGAAATGGATAAACTTGTACTGTAAGTGGGAGAAGGCGTCAAATGCTTTCAGCATGTTGCCGGACCTGGACTTTCTCACGCAAGAGAGAAATCTAGATGGAGAAAAACGCTCAATGTCGGTGTCAAGAATCAGATAAATGCAGCTGAACTATTACTGCCAGCTGCCAAGCAATTTAATTAAAAATTCTCACCTCATTTATTTTCATTATATGATGATTTACGGGCTGCTAATGGTAATGGAACAAGTCAAGTATTAATCTTCTTTTGCCTCACTCACTTTTCAGTTAATAATAACAAGGTTACACTGTGAAACAGAGCATGCTAGCTGTTTGTGTTTCTGTCATAAACACATGTTTCAGAATGTATCATTTCACAATCTAAAAACAAACGCTCCTTGTTTTATTCAGTTACTGGGAAACGTTGTGTTTTTGCATTGGACTCAATGTGTATCAATGCTTTGAAAAAAAACAGCCAAAGCCAGCTACAGTGGGTTCATTTAAGTTGAGCGGAATGGGAACATTCACTCACTGCAGCATAAACACAAAGGGAGCAAAGTCTGTTCCTCCACCTTTGTTCATGCATTTTCAGTCCTCTATAACTCGCAGCACTGCTTCATACACACAACTCCTTGCATTTCATAGCAGTTCTCAACTACATCATTTCAAACACACTGTAAGAAGAATTTGCACTGGTTATGCAAATTGAAATTATTTTATTATTCAAACAATTGTTCCATGTTTAGTCTTTTAGCCTCTTCACTATGAGATGTAAACAGAATGTGATCCTTTTTAAAGGAGTACCTACCTTGTGCCTTCACATTTAAGCTGAGATTCTTTTAAAAGTTAGATTATAATATGAATATTTAGACAGTGTATTGAGACGTGTAGGCATGCTTTCATAGAGGAAAATTAGACGTGCCTTTTGTTTTTGGAGAAGTTGAATTGTTAAAAAAACACAGTATTGCAAGCTATTTGAAGTTATTATGTATGGCTGAACTGTGAATAACTGTATTTTAATTGTAATAATAACTGCCAAGTTAACCTCAACCTTCACAATCATTTTCCTCTGTTGAGACTGGTGTGAAGTGAATCGAAATGAACAGAAATATACCCTTTTAAATCTCTTTCCAAGAAATTCTTCAGTGTTAATCTCTGCATGTTAAAATTAATTTGATAATTTGTGTTTTGTATTGATGCATGTGTTGTATATTGTACAGTGACTTACTTCAGAAGGAGTGAACGCCTGTGTGAAATGTTAAATGTTCTGCTCCAGCTTGTTACGTGACACAATGTAAGCGATCATGCTCGGGTCAGTGTAGCTCGGATGATACACACTTTAAGTTAAGTGTAGACACTAAGAAAACAGGTGCTCAGACAGTGCGAGCTGTATTGATCTTACAGACATTGCCATCTGTATCTAACAGTTTCACATATTCCAGGCTTACTCTCACCAGTGTACTTCTCAGTTCAGTCTTTGCCGAGTTTGAAGTGTTCAGAATGGCTGTTAGAACTTATATTAATTATAATAATATGATAATATTAATTCACTCATTTTAGGATTTTTATGATTTGTGAACATTTCACACTGTGTAATAAACATTACTCTCAAAGGCCAAGTGTTACTGTGCTGAAGTTGTGGTTCACCAATAAAAGGACCAGTGAATGTAGAAAATAAAAAATGTCATGTGACTTCTCAATACGTCATCACCTGTGCTTCTGTTCGCCTTTAGTTGCTTGTTGTGAATGTGATGACTGGTATTTTGTGACAGATTCATTGATGCAACATGAAACAAATCAGGTTTCATTAGGTCGCTGAAGTGATGAGTAGAAAGATTAAACTGTTAGTGTGTTAATTATGTGCCACTGGAAGTTGTTGCTTCCCTCATTGTCCCGCTGACCCCCTCCTCTCTCTCTCCACAGCTTGTTTTAGGAAACTTTGCTCTGTTTGTCTGTCACCGTCGCAGACACAGTCCAGTGGCTTTTCGTGGCCAGCTGCCAATAGGGGCTGAGAACAGGCCGTCCTGTTCTGTTTTGCCCCCTTCATTAGTGTGCCCACATGTCACACTCTATTCTGGTTGTGTTACTTTTCTCTCTTTGTCTCTTTCAGTTCCATTTTCCAGTTCACTGAGGCCTTATTGGTATTGTAGCAATAAAAATACAGTGTTATACAAGCTCATTTTTTAAAGACGAGAGGATAAGTGAAAATACGATCGGTGGGATGTAAGAATCACTACAGCGGACAACGTTCCCTCTACAGGAAATGTCTGATGCAGACCAGAGCCGCAACAGAGATTTCATCTGGATCTATTTACTTTTTTTTACGCTTTCATTAAAAATGTAAAAGAAATGGGTTCAAAAGAACTATCCAAACATTACTGAGCTGTTTTCTTAATCAATTCTTCCGCTAATTTAAAGTAAGAGTAAATATTGGAACTGCAGCTTGCTCTTGTGTTGTTTTACATTAAGTAAACCCATGCAGGGTTTGTTGTCTGAGCTTGTGGGTATTCGTGCACTCTGTTGCACCTGCAGAGCTGAACAGAGTTCATTTAAGGCCTCCAGCTTTGACACACAAGACAGTTGCTCTTAAATGTATAACCTTGGAAAAGTTTTTATTTTTAATGTATGCTTTGGAAACTAATTTATTTGCGGCGCGCCCTAGTAGGTCACCGGTAAAACTGGCACCCCACGTATCAAAGGCTGAAAGGCTGAGTCCATGCTGCAGCAGCCATTTGTTCGAGTGTGACCTGTGGCCCTTTACTGCATGTCACCCCCCCTCTCTCTCACTCATTCCCGTCTATCTTGAGCTGTCCTGTCAATACTGGCAACCTCCCTCTCACAAACATATACAGAAAAGCTATATGCACTGCTAGGTACAAATAATTATTTGATTAAGATATCAAATTGAAAGTCAGCTAGTTTGTCACAGACACACCTGTTTATATGTATGGACTATGGACTGCCATAAGGTTCAGTGAAAAAACGTTGAAGCCTGCACACTTAATCATTGCCACAAAAAATCTTTTAATGAAAAATAATGCCATTAATGACAAACTGGGAAGCTGGAAATATTAAAAAAAACAAAACACTCAAAGACATTTCCCCAGTTGTTCTTTGAAATGTTTGCAAAAAATAATTTGTCTTAGTCACACCATTTTAGTGACATGTTCCTGTTGGCTCTCTGTGTATCTGTATATGATGTGTAGTATAGTGAAGAAAAGGATCAAAGAAGTAATCTCCGTTTCCTTTCTCCCATCCTAATTCAGCCTTCATTATTGAAAGCTGAGCAGCCTTACTCTTTATGTTTCTTGAGGCTGCCAGTTCATTTTCTCCCTTTTCTCGTCTTCAGCAAAAACACTTAATAGCTCAGCAGCGCCTCTCTCTCCATGTGGCAGCCTCAGTCTCCTGAGAGCTTTCCTCTATAGTACGCTGGCATTATCTCCACATGTAAAATTAGACTTAATGCCTGGATAAAATAGACTGGGATGCTCACACCATTACTGCATGCTGGTGTGACCGAGATGATTGGGCCAGGTCATGTGTCCTCTACATGAGACTTTTCAGTGTGGTTCAATGGTCTTCCTTTAGGTGAGGATCTATAGTGTATTTACAGCTGAAAGTACTTTTGAAAGTAGAAGTCAGGATGGAAAGCACTTCAAATGTAACATCTAATGCTGATATTACGTTGCTGTCACTGTTTTGCTGAGGGACCTCTGTTTTGAGGGTTTTGAGAAAGGCTTCCAATATATTTTTTTCCTTTCTTGTGCTGTTTTATTGGTGGAATAACTAAGTACAAATTTGATAATGTACTTTTTACTTCTCTTATTATCTGACAGCTTTAGTTACTAGTTGCTTTACAGATTAGGATTTTCGCATACAAAACATATGAAGAAAAATATAATGCTTTGTTCATTAGTTGCAGTCCTATACAAAATAATTCATAATGAGCTCCACTTAAACCAATCAGTCAGTAAAATCCTGATTTTACATCAATGCATGATTAATTATAATCCATTGGTATAACAGTACAACTTTACTTTTAATTTAATTTAATTAGTATTATTATTAAATCTGAATACTTCCTCCACTGCTTCCTCCATTTGTGGCCAACAAAAATTGATCCATGTACACAGCTACATGTGCAGTCCACTGGAAAAACAAGCACTTGTCGTGGAGGGCTTTGTCAAGTGTTTGTTCTGCAAATAGTGGAGTATCAGAAGAGTGTGAGCTTGAGTGTGAACATTAAGGCAGGTTGCCAGGTAGATTTGGATCCTCTCAAGTATGAGACAGCACTGTAATTGAGAGACAAGTTGGCGGAAAATGACTGCAAATACTCACATGCACTCACATCACTTTCAATGAGACGAATAGGGCCTCTGTAGAAGGTGAAATATATAAATAATACAAGGATTACAGAAAGAGAGGTTGTGGGCACAGGATAGTGGCTCCATGTGGCCCAGAAGAACAAAATCCTCAGTACCTGATCCTCAAACCCCTGCATATTTATGGTTGAACAGTCTATTGATTCAAACTTTGTAGTTAGTTGGATGCCGTCCTCTGTCATGTCCAACCACCTCTATAAATAAGTTCACATGATTAGGGCTCCAGTCCAAAACCCTGTGGAGAGGCATTTTCTTAATTTCTAGCCCCTGAAAATGGTCTGCCTGGCACATATATAAAGGGGCACACTTGTTAACGTCAGCTCCAACGAGCAGCATTTTCACTCTCCTCGGTCTACAGGTGGCAAATGTTTCTATTACAGTCGTCAGGTGACAGGCTATATATTGAGTATTTGAGTTTTATGAACAAAGGTCTCTTCATCAGTATAGTATCCCCTCAGGTTCCAGTAATAGATATTTCTTCATGGGAGTTGGGAGAGGCAGCTGTGCTACACCTCTGTGACAGAGCCTACGCAGACTGGATCTGATGGCACATCTGGTCAGGTGAAGCAGGCTGCGGGGCGTGTTGGTGCAAACAGCGAACAAAGAGTCGTAGAAGTTTTTATGACGCTGAGGAAGCAGAGAGAAACATTGTAGTAAAACCTAAAGTATAAGTCATGTTTGGGTAAGTATTTTATATTTGCGCTGTATTTCAGTAGTGCCACTCTTTACTGCTTACTTAACTGAGCACACCCTTCATACTATCCATGTACAGTAGATCATTTTACTACCTTGTAGCAGTCATCGGGAATGGCAGTTCTCCACTTCTTCGTGGGCTTTAAGCGTTCATAAGAATTGACCATGATTTCTACTGCTCTGGGGTAATTGTGGCAGGACTGCAACACCTGCACAAAGTAACACACAATATGACATTATATAGCACAAGAACCATCAATCGACAGGATGATGGAGGAGATGAGGTAAATGAAGTCCACAAATACCTTGTGGAACTGGGGTGGGTAGATCCGTGCTGCGTCAAAGTTGAGCAGCAGCTGATAGCAGAGCTCAGGTATGGCCATGGGCCTGACATCGGTCACTTTGAGGAGATACTGAATGGGGGCACAGCCATTTATGTCCATGGATCGTGAATCTGCCCCGGCCTCCAGCAGCATCTGCATCAGAACGTGATCACAGTTCCAGGCTGCCTTGTGAAGAGCTGTTTTATGGTCCTCTTCTTGGAGGTTTGGGTCTGAAAGAGAAGGGCAGCTGTTGTAGAAAATAACCCCCACAGTTTCTATTATAGACAACAGTGACAATAAATAGTGAAAGTCATGTACAGTTGTTGGTCCAAAAACTCACCTGCATGGTGGTCCAGCAGGAGGCGACAGACAAGATGGTGGTCTTGGCTGTAGATTTGCTCTTTAGGATCAAAAGCCCAGAAGGCCGCAGTCATCAGAGGAGTCTCCTGGAGAAAGTTGACTGCATCTACAGACGCACCGTGGTTTAAATAGAGAGCCAACAGCTCTGGGACGCCGAATCTGGCTACTGTGTGTAAAGGTGTCTCCTCATCATGGCTCTGGCTGGGCATATTGACTTTTGCACCTTCACAAGGAAAAAAGTAGAAGTTATTTTGTTGCTTTTTGATGTTGTTACACAATCTGTATTTGCACTTCATCCATCTACTAATGCATCCATCTATCCAAACATCGTTCCCTCCTGACCTTTGACAATGAGCTGCTGGGCACACTCCACAGACTCCCTGGTGATGCAGTAGTGCAGTGGTGTGTGTCCGCTCAGTGACAGGCTGCTGACCTTTGCCCCGTGAGCCAAAAGCAAGGCAACACAGTCACTGTTGGAGACCTCGCAGGCCACGTGCAGCGGCGTCTTCCCATTGGGCATCCGATTGACAGCTGCACCTTCCTGAAGGAGCACCAGTGCTGTTTCCAGAGCATTGTACATCACGCATACATGAATGCCCATTGCCCAGGACTTTTCCAGTTTGTAGCCTGGGAGCCAATAACCTGTAGCAGAAAAGACAACCAAAAGAGTTTTTAAGGCCCTGTAAACTTATCTTCTCAACAAGAACACAATATGTTCTGTCAAGATAGTTGTTGTTTTTCTTACTGGTTTGAAATGCCTGGGGGCCAGTCATGTCAACACAGTAAGAAGTAAAAAAAAAAAATCACAGTAACTAATAGTATTAATTAAGGATATTTTTCTGTTTAAAAACTTTAACTTTGATTGTTGCATATTTTGTCATGAATATTTAAGGTGATAAATACTTAAAAACAAGTTTTTAGGGGCTTTGAAAGTATATATCAAATGTGCTTGTATCATGTCTAGCTCACAGTAGATTTATATCTCTTTATTGCTTTGTTGTTCTATTGCAATATGCTTATTCACCAGTTGCCAATTATGTATGTGATTGTGTTTCCTGTCATATCCAGCTTTAGGATCCACAGGGATTTGGCACCACCTAGTGTACAAACTACAGAACTAATCCCATAACTATGATATCCAGGGGGTGTTTACATTCAATTCTTACTCCCTATTCTATCATCCTATTTATAAATGCTTTGTGAAAACATAATGCCTGGCAGTCTAGTTGGAGTCATGTGATAACTCATGTTTCTGGGCCTAAATGCTTGATATTGTATGACAAACAAACAGTATAACACCACTTGGTTTATTGCTGCTGGTGAAATGTGAATCAGTCTCTTCCTCTTTACCTTGTTTGTATGAAGCCAGTACCATGCTTGGGTCGTCCACCTCCAGCACAGTGTCAATGTCTAGTTTCCCGGTGTGCAAAATCTGCATGACCTTCTGAGCATTGTTGGCCTGCAGGGCTTCCAGAAACTGTTGCTTCAGCTGTTTGACAGCAACTTGCCTGGGGCTCAATTCCTCCATGAACTCCCTAAAAGAAATGCGTCGCTCCCTGTATGGCACTGCCAAATCAGCCAGCTCGGACACTAATGTTCTCCACGCAGCATGGAGCAGATAGGAAATAAGCGCACAAATAACGATAATGAAGGTGTCAACCATAACCCACACTGGGAGGCCTCCATAAGCCCAGTCATGAGATATGGGAGGTGTATGAGGAAGGGAGACGGAAATGAAGTAGAAGAAGACAGTGCAACAAGTGACAGGAGGTAGTCAGCAGAGAGTAAAAAATAACCCTGGAGTGAAATTAGGTGGAATATAAATAGAAAGGAGAGAGGGAGGGGACTGGAGATCTACAGCAGTTGGTCAGTTGCTCATATGTAAACTGAGAGAGTGGCATCATGAAGTGGTGAACATAGCATGGGGATGGCAACGGTTTCAGAGAGAAAGCTGTTTATTCTCTTCTATCTTATTATGACTGAAACAAATCCAAGAGTGTTAAGGTTTACCACGAGAAATTCTAGACAGAGAAGAATGAAAAATTATCATAAACAGTCATATCATGAATTGTGCACACTTTCTACGTCGAGGAAATTTAGACAAGTGTTGAAAAAAGAAGACACAAAAGCAAACTATGGACAGTGACTGCACATTTTATTCAGTGTGACAGATAGCTGCCCTTTCAAACTTTTCAGAATGCCAAAAAGAGAGCAAAGTAATGACAAAAAAAGGGGGAGGAGAGTAAGCACAGCTTTTTTTAAAAGAGTGAAAGCATGGCTAGCAGTTTGTGGTGATTATCTTTTGCTCTTTACGTACATGAAAGACAAACCCTTCCAGACATGACTCAAACGTCAGTGTTTTTTCGCCTGCCGTGGAGCACCAGGGTCTCATCCATACGTTGGTTTCATCATGCCAGGCAAGCTCAGTCAAACACATAGAAAAGATCCAGAATCACATTTCTGCCTCAGGTCTGACCTTTTAGCCTCCTCAGCCCTCAGACAAACTGTGCACACACACTGACACAATAGAAAACAAGGCTTCTTTAGGATTCTTACAGCGTATTGCTCTCAGTGTTTTACTATACATACAAAAGAGTCAAAAGAGTGCAGTCGGCTGACTGGCTTGACAAGGGAGGAGGGGGGAATTCACAGAAAGGTTCAAGTGTTACAAAATGTTTCATAAGAACACATCATGAGCAGCACTGGAGCAGCACTATGGTTGTGTTAGAGGAAAACCACAAGCACGATGGGAGAATACTACTGTTTTCTTAAAATCCTTCATTTGACAACCACTTGAATCTAAATCACTTTTAATTATGTTTTGGCAATAGGAAGTAATCATACAATTCTGGATAAATCATTATTAGGTGTTAATAATACTCTTATTTTGTATAAGTTATCATAAACAGTAGTCAGTTCCTTCATTAAATACAGAAATAAATAAATAATAACATTAACAGATCAGTGATACCTGTATTACTGTGGCATTGCTTGGAGGTATCTGTAACTCCTACTATTCTTCTTGTTCTTAACCTGTTAACAGTGCACCAGGCAGGTCAAAGACAAAAGGGAATCATAACCAAAGCTGCCTTCATTTCTATCACGGTGACACTGGCGTCTCTATATTTAATGTAAACCTACGGAATGATCCTCGGGAATGACAAAGAAGTAACACAGGGAACATGTCTCTCAGTGAGCTTCATAAATCCTAAAACAAGAATTGCATAAAATACATGTCAAAATAATTTCAAAGGTATATATATATATTTTTTTAAATCTAACAAGCAAATCAAAATGTTTTAAGTCTTACTGAACTGGTTTCGTAAGAAAATCAAAACTGTATTGCAGTGCAATTTCCAGTGTAAGATCAGTAGTATCAGGTACAATAATCTTTAAGACAATTTCTGGACCCACTGCATCTGTCCCTCTATATGGCAGCATTCCTAAATATTATTCCAAAGTAATTTGCATGGTGAACTTTGTCAAGAAAAAAATAACAATTAGAAATGTTTAGTCCACTGTATGTGTTTTGACACTCACACAGAAGCGGGTAGAGTTCAGAAAAATTCTACTACTCTAGAATTTCTAAAGGCAGCGGCGGGGCATTACTTTGTTATTGAGAGAGAATATAAAAAGAGCTCAAAAGCAGGTTACAAGCAGAGTCAAAGCAACATTATGCATATAAGCAGTTTCATTTTAACTTTTTTTTTTTTTTTTTCGTGGTACGGGTTTGGTAAGTTACAAATTTCATGACTATATTGTACCTGAAGTCTCCGTTAGAACCAGTCCAGTGAGTTCAGTATGTCCTTGTCTTCATTCACACTTGAACTGCTTTAGTATGGTACATGTTTACTGTAAGTAGCATTGGACAAGTCAGTACAGAGATTAAATTTACAGTCTTCCAGTGTTCTTGTATTGAGAGAGTTTGTTTCTCCCTCTTCAGTTCCAGTGTTGCCTTTTTCAGTAGTGACAGTATGCAGCATGGGGACATCCAGTGGCGGGAGATGAATACTGCCTCATATATTCTACCACACAGGGCTGACCTGCATGTGCTTCATCAAAGCAATAGAGCGATTCCACTGATCTATGTATCTGAACAGGATATACACAAGTCTATCAAAATGGCACGTCAGACATATTTGTATCTGTCTTTATCACTGTACATGTACATGGTCATCATGTCTAAAGGTGCTGTGATGGGTAACATAGACGGCTCTGAAGATGATATGGGATGAGGATGAGGTGCACGTTTCACAGACTTAATCTGGATATGAATAAATAAACCCGATTTACAGCAATAAACAGCTAAATAAATAGAACTGAGTAAATTCTTAAATGGCTAAAAACAAAGGATGGGTGTAAAATGAGGCAAATAAGTCAGGCAGCATCCTATTATCCAACTGCTCATTTTGGTTTTATTTACTTGGTGAAAAAGTAATTGAACAATCTCCGACAGATGGGTGTGTAGCTCCACCACTGAGAACTATGGAACTACTGAGAAGGCGTCCCTCAGGGTTCGTTTGTGGGGCCTACTGACGTTCTGCTCCTCGTGATGCTACTTAGTGTGGTGCTACAGTAAAGCGGGAGGTGATCTAACAATTCACTTCACTCTGCTGCGCTTTCTTTGCGCGCCTCTTTCTGCTGCTGCTCCAGCTCTCTCTTCCGTAGCTTCTCGCGCTGTTTCTCCACCTTCTCTCGGTTTCTCTTGGCCTTCTCCATCAGAACTTTAAGGTCTTTGATCTTTTTCTTGATCAGGGCACGGTCCTGGGAAGAAGTAACTCCAAGAGCCTGAAACAAATTAATATTGATTTGAGAGTTTGAAAAATCTGTTTTATTTGTTTCCTTTAAATAAACACATCACACAAACATCTTTTAAAGGGTCCCTTACATTTTGAAAAAACTTTTTTTTTTAAAGTATTTTTTGGGGCTTTTTATTGCCTTTATGATAGAGACAGCTGAAGATAGACAGGAAAGGGGGACAGAGAGAGGGGATGACACGCAGCAAAGGGCCGCAGGTTGGATTCAAACCCTGGGCCGCTGCAGCAAGGACTCAGCCTCGGTACATGGGTCGCCAGCTCTACCCACTGAGCTAACCGGGCGCCCAACTTGTCATAAACTTGTTATCATTCTGTCTAGAACGGATGTATGTGAGCACAATATCTGAAAAATCTGTAGTTTTAACTTACTTTGAGCTCAGGGCTCTCCAGCAGTAGCAGCTGTTCTCCATCTATATTTTGGGCTGTGAATTCTGGGATATGGTGTTCTAGGTTGAGGCCCATGAGCCAGCGGGCCACTTGCTGGGAGGTCCACTCTGTGATGCTGCAGTTCTGCCACTGATACTGCTTCGAAAACTGACCCTCATCCAGGATCTGAACATATATGACATGGAGACAGACAGACCAGGACAGAGAGAGAAAGAGGCAGATAAACATATCAGATGCACATTATTGTTCCAAGCACACTATTTATATATATGTCTCAATACATGTCTGGCGGGGTTCTTTAACCATGCACTTAAAGTGTATCTTCTATCTTCTACATAACACTGATAACGCTCAATGAACACATTTTACCATGAATGATGTGTGGGAATGAGACACAGACAAATGGCTCGTATTCAACAGACACAAAGACATGCATGCAGTAAAACACAAGCCTCTGGAGGCCTGCAGCTTCAGTCTCACCTCATCATCTATCATATCCAGACTCTGAATGTGGCAGCATTGAAAACAAAAGATGACTGGCTTGTTAACAGAGAAAATACAATGTCTTCCACTCCAGAAGCCTAAACCAGCATTTGAATACAATGAGCCTAAACCGGTGCATTGATTTTTAGCTTGTTGTTTTCTGCCAGAAGAACATGAGAGATGCTGCTCCCTGTCAGAGATATCCATAAAGATAACAGATTGGGGGACTGACACAAATAACAAAGGTGCATTGTGTGAGCTAGTTTTATTTTTCAAACAAATGAACTGATATTCATTCTGTGTCTGTAAATTCATTTGTTTAAGTTGTGAATAAAAAAGGGGGATTTTGATCGAAGTCCTGCATTTCGGTCACATTTGAACTGACAATGTATATAAATACTGTTCTTGAAATTTAATCTCGTGAGCTTGTATTTAGGAGAGTGGTGAAATCAACATCATATATTTGTTCAACCTTTCTGACACAGCATTTAATCTTGCAAACTATCATCACCTTGCCCAATAAGGAACTTCCATTTTAAAAACAGGACAATATTCTAAATCTGTACAGTATTAGTACAGACTTAGTAGTACCTCGTCTGAGGAGAGCACCAGGGTGTGTGAGCGTCCCGACATCTTGGCTTCACTCATCAGCCCGCTGATCTCCACTGAGCTGCTGCTGCTGGCACTCAGATCATCGTTCAAAGTGGGTCCCTGAGAAATCAACAACACACTTATAAGACTGGTGGTGAGAGCCAAGAGGCACTGAGGATGAATTTAGATGATTAGATGGAGTGCTTCTCTATTTCTGTTCCTTAAACAGAGATACTTAATGAGGAGTGAATGAATCAAGAAAATGAAAACTTTCCCTCTGAGCACGTACCAGAGCGATTGATGTTTTTCTTCAGTCAATAAAAAGTACATTAGACTAACATATTTAAGCTGTTTGATTGACTGGAAGGAGGTGGCGTTGTGCACATCCCTCATTTTTAAGATGTTCCATTATAGCACAAACTGTGAATGTGATTAGTGGTTAGAAATGATGTAGCTGGATGATATCCAACTCCAAAAATCTTCTCTGCCCTTGTGAGTCTGTGAGAGTGTGGAAATTTATGGAATTATAGTATTAAGATTCAGGATCCGTGGTCAATCATCCAAAGACAAGCTGCTGCTGAGAAATATCATAAATAGTGTTTTTTTTACAGAGAAATTGTTATATCCCTTTTATTCAATATTTTACTCATTGCTCCTCTGATTAAAATAGATTTATTATTTATTCAGTGTCAAAGATACAACGTTATCTTTGACACTGAAGTTAAAACTGTCTTACATTTAGCTATATATCAGGTAGTTTTAAGGAGTCCTTCGAATGTCAGTGCTGTCTGAGGTAAAAGCAAGACTAATCGTACAGGTTCAGACTTTCAGCTTTCTGGGCTGAATCCTTACTTAAAATCTCCACATAACTATTAATGTGCATACATTCTGCAGTGATTTATCTTCTGATGTGTACTCATCTAAAGCTAAGAGCATGTCCTTGGAGAGAGAAAACTGGATTGGTGCAGAATCAAAAACTAATCTCGCTTTCAGTCCTGTGGTAACCACATCTGATATTACACAGGATTAGAAACAGATTTCATGCAATTTCCTGCACTGCAACAAATGCCCATGTTAACAGCTTTAATCTTCTTTTTATTGTATCAGTATGACATTTAACTGAGTCAAGGTTCATTATGAAACAAACCAATTTTGCATGGGAATCCCTTGGGAACAGATCTTTCTACAAAATTGGAATTTAATACTTAAGGACAGATCATATGATTGTTAAAATGGACATTTTTACACTGTCATTGAAGACATGGTTAAGATTATAAGACATATTTATTACATTTAGGACCATGTAGGCCTACTGATTGATTTTCTTGCAATTAGTAATGCAATTACGCATTTCTATGATTGCAGTACATAATTTCCTTTATCAACAAACCCTTTTTACCTCTTCGAGCACCAATTAATTTTCATTTGAGTGGACTGAGGTATAATTGAACAAAACACAAAAGAATACAATACCAAGTAATATGAATAGGAGAAGAAGTGGGGCCATGTAAGGGAGGTCTGTTCAACAGAAATAACACAATATATAATATCATAAAAAAACACATAATTTAACTCAGTTATACTTAACTAAGTATTAGTACATACTGTAGGTCTGGCAAAAAGTCTGCTCTGACTGGACTTATATGCATTATGAGGGGGAATACAAAGTCTCCTTCAATGTCCTCGCTGCAAAGTATCTGTGAAGTGAATCATTATTTGCCCAATGTACAGTTAGCAAACCTTATGTACCTTGGCCTTGAGTTGCTCTAGACTGTCCTCTGCTGATGGCTCTGTGGAGCTGAGAGAGAGACAGACAATCAGACAGACAGACAGACAGACAGAGAAATGGATGAAGGGAGAAATTAGATGGATGTTGGTGACAATTAAAAAAACCTAAATAATCACAGAAAACTGACAGCTTATTCAGCTTTTCATTTACATTTCGCAATCTGCAATGCATTGCTCAAAACCAAATCCAAAAGCCGTCTTACTCAGGGTCCAGAGCTTGTCTGTGTTCCTCCAGACTGTGAGAAGGGCTTGACATTGCAGGAGACTGAGAACCTGTGATCAAAAACATCCCAGACTGACATTACTCCAAGCTTACATAGCAAAACAAGAAAAAACTGATAATGCAAGAAATTTAGAAATTTGGTACTGGGTTTAGTGAGGGTTGAGGAGTACGAACCATCCTGGAGGGCTCCTGTGGTGGAAGGCGGGTGCAGTATTCGTCTGGGGGAACTCTCTGCACTGTCAGGGGCCCTGAGGATCGCAGCTCCTGCATCACAGGAGGCCACGCTACGAATCGAACCAGAACGGCTGTGTGCTGGACTGCTGTGCCCCTCTGAGACCTGAAGACAGACGTAAAGGAGAAAAAACGTAAGAGGGATGAGGCAAATGGAGGAGATGGAAGAAGGGAACGTGAGGAAGGGAAGGAGGAGGAGCGAGGGAGAACTAGGATGGCAAGAAAATGAGAAAGGAAGCTAAGGCTCAGAAAAAAAAGGAAGAATAAAGTGCAATCAAAGGAAAACTGAAAAGGGCTGCAGACTAATCTGAAAGAAGTGACTTGACATACTTTCACCATTTCTAATTCCTTGCCCTCTTTTCCCCTGGAAGCCTCACACTGCCTGGTTTCTGTGTTCCTGCCAATTCTGATCCATTTTCTCGAAATTGTTTATCCAATCTGAACCCATTCCTGCTCTTGCTGAGTTAAGTGACAGCATTAGCCAGACGAGAGCTTTTCATCCAGAAAAAGACTGTGGCTGTTATTATCACACTGGGAGAGACAATAAGTTGTGACAGACTCAATTAGTGCCGCAGAGCAACACACAGCAATTAATCCATTAAAGGAATAAAGTGGGATGGACAGGGGTTAAAGACACACACACTGTCTGATGGATACACACACACACACTTATCAAACACCCTGTGGTGAAATTAAAGACGCAAGAGTCGTCTAATGAGAATAAGGGAGCTTGTTTTGTTAAAAATCCCATCTGTCCACATCACATCTGGTTGATATTTTAGCAGATGTTGTTAAATAACAAATCTGACGGTCAAAGAAAAAAGAAAGACGGGCAGGTGTGTGTGTGTGTGTGTTTTCATATACACCTCTCCCTCGGTGGAGCTGATGCTGTCTCGGGCCACTCCTCTGCAGTTCTTCTTTTTGCTCGGTGAATGAGGAGAGCACTCCCTCAAGTCTAGTAAGAGTGATAGACACATATACACAAAGAAAAGAGAGGAAAAACAATTGTGATTTAGCATGACGTGATTAAAACTATATATACTGTAATGCATTTGTTCATCAAAAGCATTGTCCATTAATTATGTGCATGTTTCACTCTTATTAAGAGGAACTTAAGTTGATGACACTCCCATATAAATAAGTCTATTAAAAAACATCAACTCAGTTAAAATATCAAGTCTTCCTCCAAAAGTAATGTGATTAATTAGGCAGGCAATTGTCATTTTCTGCTCATTCCCTGAGTGCACAAGGAGGACAAAAACTGCAATCATTTAAATTTGAATTTAATTTCACCAGATTTAGCCTTCTCCTCCCACGTGCCTTCTCTTTCACTCCTGTTCCCTCAGTCTCCCTCAGCCTCCCCTTTTTTTAATATTGCATAATGGGGCTGCGTTATTCGGATCAGTGCAGATCCAATCGCTCTGTTATCCTGTCTGCACTGTAGAGTGTCAGATATGGCTCTTCTCTGTGCACACTCTGTTCTGACAGATGCAGCCACTGAAATAAAGCCAGCGGAGCTTAAAAAGACTCGAGGAGAACAAAGCCAGACAGATGTGCTCAAAAGGGATTACGTGTTTGCTGTTTGTTTGTGGAGGTCCAAAGTTTAGCTACAGACAGAGGGAAAGTGCATGTGAGGGTTAAGGCGGTGGAGGAGAGGAGGATGTGTGCCTAAGAATGCCAGGCGTCACTCTGTATGGCTTTTTGTGTGTGTATCTTTGTGCGCATATGAACTCTTAGCTTTGCCAGGCTCTGTCGATATGTTGGAAAAAATATTAGGCTACCAGCAACTCTACAGCTCACTAATGAACACGTTAACTAAAGTGTAACGACAAGTTGTTGTTGCCAAGAAACCAGCAGTGCAAGAAGTCACTGCACCCGGCCAAGAAATAGTTCCGCACATAACCTCCTGTGCAATTACAACTTGTTTTTAAACTTTGTATTTTGCACGGATCAACAACAAAGATTTAATGTGCTCAGAAGGTGCTGGTAGGTGGATGACCTCTGGAAACAGCCAGGCTAGCTGTTTCACCCTGTTTTCAATTCTTTATGCTAAGCTGCAGCTTCATACTTAGTGGACAGAAATGACAGTGGAATTGATCTTTTCATCTAACTCTTGGCAAGAAAGTGAATTTTTCCACAAATGAAAAACTACTCCTTTAAATGAGAAACATTATAACAATGATCCTGGCAGAGACCATTCTCCTGACAAACAGACCTCTGGCTTGTGCTGCAGCCCTTCTAGGACTGTACTGCTGAGCGCTCAGCCTCTCGGCACTGTTGCTGTTGTTGTTGTTGACCTGGATGCCGTTCTGCTTCATCAGCTGCATCAGCTCGGACTCTAATGTTGCAATCTGTGGAGGGACAGGAACCGATCAATGTTAATCAGCCGTAGGGCATTTACCTGTCGAAACAGCACATACATTAATGGCCTACATGGTCTTCCATTTAGAAATACTTAAGTGTCTCACTGGCCCACGACACTCATCAGTGTAGTATTTGAACCTACAGTATATTTGATCCAGTGAAGTCAAAGCACAACCCTCCTGACTTGCTGTTGGCTTGAAATCCAGATTATACTATTTTCCCACCACTCTTGCTGTGCCACAGTTCACCATTCACAAAGCAGTGCAGTTGGAAAATGTGTGCTCAGTGTGCAGAATAATGGTAGGGCACAGTCAGGTTGACTGCCCATTCGACTGTGGGGCATGGCCTGAGACTTGAGCAGAAAACTACACGACTGTCATGTTTTAAGACTAGGAAAGCAGAAAATCCATACAGAGTTTGACAACAGAACCGACCACAGATCCCTGGACAGAGTGTTGCCCCTGTACTAGGAGGAGGAAACCTTTTGGATGTGGCAAAAGTGGCACAGATGCTTGTGATCATGTTGATTACTGGATTCAGTTTCTCTCAAACATTTACAGCATATGTTATGTAAGAAAAAGGGCTCTAAAGAAAATGTAAAAAATGGGCAAAACCTAACAATCTTGATCATTAAGAACAGAGGGGGTAAGGGTTTCTTTACAGGAAGAGAACGATGGAGCTGAGAGATGGACACAGTCAACTTAAAAATATCTGATTTACCCTGACTTGCAGTCCCTGGATTTCAGCCAGGTGAGCTTTCTCAGCCTCCTCCAGCCGCTTCCTCTCTGCATCCTCCTTCTGGATAAACTCCACCTCTCTACAAAGACAAGAGGGGAGGGGAGATTGTAATGTGTTGAGTAGGTGTGCGCAGGAAAACAAGACACGCTTGCAGTATGTGCATGTTTCGCCATGTGTGACACCGCCTGCCTCTCACTCAGCTGTGGCGATAAGGGAGCCGAGGCTTTTTAAAGATGTCAGTGTGACTCATTTCAATCTGACCCCTAGACCCACACACACACACACACACACACACACACACACACACACACACACACACACACACACACACACACACACACACACACACATCTACATCTAATAAAAACACATACATTTACATTCCTAAGAATACCAAATCCAGCGGTTTCCTCATGCCTGCTTTTTCCCCTTGGTCTGCGAGCTCACTCTCTCTCCCCTGCAACTCAGTCCTCCGCTACAGATCAGCATGGAGAGTTTGTTTCATCAGTTAGTTTCCATTTGGCCTGCAGGGCCACAGCCAATTAGAGGCAGTCAGACTGGAGCTGAGCAGGAGAGGTTGTGATGGGACTGACCAAAGAGATCAACACACTAAAAAGCAGGAGGGATGCGCTGCATACTAATGGGAACTCAGCTCTTACTGTTGGAATGGGATAAGACTCTGGCTATAAAAAAAGCCACTCTGCCTCACAGAGAGAAATGTAGCAGATATTCTCTGTGAGGCTGTAAAAAGAATAATGAAGGAATTTATCTAAAATGATTTATTAAAGCACATATTTAATGGCAGGATTGATGGAATGACCTCATTCAAGAAACAATTCAAGTGTTGAGTTATAATAGACGTGTAAATTATGTTTCATTTCAAGCTGTTAAGTGCCTCTCTCTGCAAGTCAGTAAGAGTTGGTTAAGAAGAAGTTTTCTGACTGCATTATGCTACATTTAACTATGACAACCAATGCAACTAACTGGTCAAACAAAAAAAAAAAGACTAAAGAAGCATTAACTGTCAGTTCAGGAAAAGCTGCCTGGGATCAAAATCAAAACAGCTTAAAGAGGAGATCAAGGAGGCTGTTTACATCCGACGTAATAGATCCAGTGTTTATGATTTCCACTCTACATATATGATCAGAAATTAAATGAGCAAACTCCATCTGCTGATAAAGACCTTGAGATGTGATTGAAAGCTCTGGAAAAAGCTTGTGAGTGGACATCGAGTTAAGAAGCTTTAGTCTTGTCCTATCTGCGAGTTAATAGACTAAAAGCAACACATACGCTCGATTTTTTTCTACAAACAAAATGCCATCAGAATAATGTGAAACATGCTATAAACACATAAATCCTCCATTCCCCACTCACAGATTAGGAGGGCCAGTTTAACCCAGGTTCACTCACTTCTGCTGGAAGTCTTTGATGAGTTTCTTGGCTTTGTTGTACTTTTTCTCCAGAGTTTGGTACTGCGCCTGGGCCTCCTTCAGGTGTTCGTTGACCGTGTGGCAGAGGGTCTGAGCTTCGATCCAGTAGCTCTCCAGCTTCAGCATCCTCTCCTTGTTCTCCTCGATGCTGGCCTTCAGCTGGCTCTTCTCCTTCTCCCAACGCTGCTTCTCCCTCTCCACTGACGCCAGCTGGAAAGGGACAATAACAACTTTACAATATGGGAACTTTTAACAGCACAGTAAACGAATCCTAGGAATCATATTAGACTAGATTATATTTTGTATTGTTTTGTTTTTGCTGTCTGCAGCTACATGAAACATCCCATGGTTGAGATCAAAACAAACCCACATTTTCAAAATTGGATATTATTTATTGTTACTCCTAAAAAAAGCTTTTTATGCACCACTTTTGTGATCATATCAACTCTCATCATATTAATTAGCCCATTAACATTTGACAGAGTTTATAAATTATACACTTCAGATATGTGTACTGTAGGTAAATATGTACACATATGCACATGCACAGAGTTTATAGATTACAGTAAAAGAAATAAACAGAAATTCTACTAGGTGCTCACTAACTTTCTTACTTATTTAACAGCCATTTGCAACTGAGGGAAAGAAGATTATACAGGACATGGGAGGCACACGACTTAAACATACAAACAGTTACAGACATTTTGTATTTGGTAGAACTACACTTGATTGTTTTGAAAGATATCTCAGATTTGTAAGGACTTTTTATAGCCACTTTTTTAGTTAAATAATCTGATAAAAAATAAAATCTATTGCTAAAGCTTTCCCACTATACATGAACCCCTGCCACCCTGTTGTCCTGACACTAGCACTACATCCACATCCTCCCGCTGCGCTGACAGTTTTAATCTCTTACCTTGTTTTTGAGTTTCTGGATCTCGGCCTCGGTCACTGTGTGTTTGATCTGGAGCTGTTGGGAGCAGAGGCAGAGAAAAGAGAAGACAGGAGAGAAAAGAGAGGGCGGTCAGATAATCAAATGCATGGCTGCGCAGGCTCTCCCTGCTGTCGATACAGTGTGACGGACGGAGGCAACCGACCCCGTCCTCCCCTGACAGCATCCCCCAGCTCCACACGCTGACACACACACTCAGAGGAGAGGCAATGAGAGCGGTAGATAGAGAGAGGTAGATAAATAGCTAGAATTCATAAAATATTTTGACAAGAAAAATAAATCTGTAAATGAGAAAATGGCACTTTTTCCTAACGCAACGTCTGAAAATGTAAAAAATTAATAGAATCTTGAGGCAAAAGAGCTCGTATATTCAGAGAGATGGAGTTAGAAATGGAGAGAGAGCAACAAAAGATTAATGGATGGAAGTTGAGATGAGCAGTCATTTACAGGGAGACTCAGAGAGGGAGATAATGACAGAGCAGGCATAAAAAAAGAAGAGGAGGAGATAGAGAGAAAGAACTAGACATGGAACAAGAGCTGTGGCAATGGAAGCAAATGAGGGCTCTGGTAAGTGAGGCAGAAACAGAGAAAAAGGGAAGGAGTGACACTGGGAACTATGGGAGTGTCTGAAGTATAACGATGACTGTACTTTCTTTTATCTTATGAAGCCTATTTTTTATGATAGGTTCACAATGTTTCAAGTCCATATGTTACAGTATGGATTTTGCATGTTGAATTCCCCTTAGGCCACAGTGCAAAAATGCAATCTTAAATTCATTACAAGTTATGAGGTTTCAACAGTCTGAGTCAGATTAATTAAGTTGGTATCTTCTAAAGTTTAAATTTAAGTCCTAAAAAGACTGTAACTGTAAAGATAGCCCCTCAATTAAACTGACTCAGACTGCTCAAGCCTTACATGAAGTTCACATAAACTTTGGAAAGTCATTTTGCACAGATCGAGGACTATGGATTTTGTCCCCCATCACTTCAATTGGAAACAGGACTGCAGGGTATACTTTAATGTCCAGTATGAACAGGAGGAATGATTCCACATCCATGTACATACAGTATGTATGCATGTGAGTATTCTTGAAAAAATGTGAATCTATCCTTTAAATAAGTACATTTACAGTTAGAACACCACTGTACTCACAACATAAAACAGCAACAGGCTGTATCTGCTTGTTCCAACACGTAATTGAAGCTTTATGGTGCTTAAAACAGAGTGCCATGTCTCTTATGGCTACACTATCACATCAATGGAAATATTCTAGATGAACTGGAGTTGAACTTAAAAACATTTCCTCATACCTCAGTAGGGCATATTTGGTATTTTTGCTTATCTTGACGTCTTAATTCGAATTTTTGTTCTTCGCACTAAAAAATTGAATTTAAAATTGGGTTAAATGTTCTATCTAAAAATCTATGCAGATACATAAATTTACATGGAGTACATAGATACCGTACTAAATTCCATTCATTAACAGTTTCTAATAGGTTTGCGTGTAAGCATTTAGTGGTGTGTGTGTGTGTGTGTGTGTGTGTGTGTGTGTGTGTGTGTGTGTGTTTGCGAGTGTGTAAATCAGTCAATACTGCGTCTATGTTGACATTAATAATTATTCATGCCTCCAAAACATAGTTCAGAACATCACAAAAAAAGTAAATGGATTGAACAGCAGCCTGGTAGGGACTAATATTTCTTTAAAGGACATTAAGAAGATAAAAAGGTTTAAGACAGATTTGTTCACTGTCGACCTACAAGAACGTTTTTACTATCACATCTACTTTCTGACATTTTAAAGGCTTTTTCCCAGCTGCCTGGCTTCGTCTTTACCTTAGTGGGTAAAAGGTGGCAAAGACAGACAAGGAGGAAGTGGGAAATGGACAGCCCTTTAAATGAAAAAAGGTAAAAGCGGCACTATGGGAGCGAGAGAGGTCAAGAGCCAGAGAAAATGGAACGAATGTATACATCCTGTGACCAGGGATTACATTATGGTTTCACTCGATATCCCCAGCGGTGCCTGCAGTGTAGCTGAAGCCATTTGTTAAATGTGTCATAGAGCTATTGTGGCAGTCTACAGAAAGGCTCAAGTGTTATGGTGCCAAAAACAGGGCTGGAGTGTTCAATCAATAGGGCCAGCTTTTCAGCAGCCTAAAAAGCATAAACCAGTTAACAGCCAGTGACTTCATTTTCCATTTTATAGCTGTAGTTTCTAAGATGAGTTCATTGTTAGCTAGTGTAGCAAAAAGTGCAACAAAAATCGGTCTTTTATTCTCAAAGGCCAGCTGCGTGGAGAGTTGCCAAGATCAGGATACAAATCTATTCAAATACAGGTTTAAAGTCCCTATCTCTCTCTCCCCATCTGTGGGTTTTAAGCAAACATGGATAATTAGAGATGAAATGAGCACAGGTCTTACATCGCTTTTGCATTCACGCCTCTAATCATCCAGATTAGGAATTAGGGAGGGTAAGCGGATCTTAGATCTTAACAAAATAATATAACTCTGCCAAATAAAGCAGGGGCGCCAGACTCCATTGTCTTGCTATCTTTTATTGTTTATCTTTTTTCTGTGGTTATTCTAGTGTATTCTAGTATGTTTTTTCTTTTAAATGTATTCTTCAAAGCACTGACAGAGAAAAATGTGGTAAGATCTAATCAGTTGTGCGATCATCACATTGGGATATTTTAGAATTAGAAGTAGAGAATTATAGATGAGGAGAAAGTATCTTCTGAGTTTACCTCTCTGAACTTCTGGTAGAGTTTGTTGGCGTCTAACTCCGAGGGAGACAAGATCTCCTCCGTCTCAGGCAAGTCAAACACCTCGATGCTCTTCTCCCCTCCTGCCACCGTTGTCCCCGCCTCCTCCTCATCTGTGGCGTACTCTCCTGTCTGCTGTAAGAGGAAACGCGAGGAAAAGTCAGCCATGTAGAGTGAGAACTACAAGATCTCTACAAGCAGATTGGAGAGCAGTATTTCCTAATTTAGGCAGCCAGAAAGGACATTTGTTCTTTGTTCTTTTTGTACAAGCATTAACACTATTGTGTATAAAAATATTAAATGTTTAAAAGAAACACTAATATATACCCATATAATTGATTATTTTATGTGTTTTGGCTCATGTTATACAACTATAGTAATCAGGTAACAGAGTAAGAACATTAATTATTTCTGGCTACCATCTTTGTTTGGATTAGGAAAAAGTGGCACAACTTGGAAAATTGGTCAAAATGGTGCAGCTGACAGAATATTTATTCATCCAGATGGTTATAAGAGTCTTTGAGGATTCTGGAAATAACTGGACAAACAGCGATAAGTATTATTAAAAAGCTTTTAGGTTGATTGCAGGGCATTTATATTTTGGGTTAGCAGATGCTTACCTCTGTGACTCATATGTAATGGTAATGCATGAGAGACACATATTGGAAGTAGCTTTAGCCTCAGTGAACCCAAGACTCTTGATTTAAAAGGAATCAGCTAAAAACATTAAACAGTTCCAACAACCAAAACCAACAAGTTTTCTAACTTTATTAACTGCCCTCTAGTTAACTACATCTGATTAAATCTGCAAGCCACAGTTATCAGTTCAGCCGGCAAAAGTGTTTGCAGCCTAAAGCGTTCACCCTTCAATGAACTGTCAACAGGCTGCGAAACAGCCTGAACAGACAAACTAGCCAGCCAGTCAGACATCCAGCTGTCCAACTGCAGCATCCATTTTTCACCTTTCTTTTTCTCTCTCTGTCTTCTCTCATCTCTCCTCACGTTGCTCTACCTGCTGCACATTGCGTGTCAAGCCCAACTGGAAACTATCCATTCTCCCCCATGCCATCCTTTTTTTCCACTTTCTATTTTGCATTAGTAATGCTATTTTAATGCTAGTTATATAAGATTTAGGGTAACCCACTTAGTTGGCCAAAACTTAAAACTAAATTGGTTTGACAGCCTAGTCAGCCATAAGTGTAATTTTTTATTCAAAAGAAAATAAGCCAAATTCTAAGTTCTACTGGCCAAAATTGAATGTCACTTCTTATTATTTTTAAACATTAGTCACCATCTTGCCTCAAGTGTAAGGAGGCGACAGGTCAAAACTAATGATTTTTGAGCCTGTGATAGTGCCTCTAATGGATTTAATTCTTAATGTTAGCAATCTAGGATTTACATAAAAATCTGTGACTAATAAAAGTCACCGGAAACAAGTAATTATTTCAGCTTGAATGTTACACAGGATTTAAATGAACAATATTTTGTGGCTTGACATTAATGTAGGCTATTATGCTGCATGTATTCCAGACAGTTTTTCTTTTCTCTGATTCTCAAAATACACTATAATGAATGTTGGCATTGGCTATTAGGCATCAGCTCTAAATGGATCGGCTAATTCACTCTTTGGCTGATGACCAACAGACCCGGATATTTCCAGTGGAGGGACTCTGAAAACATCTCTGTCTCCCTCTTAACATCACATAACTCAGGCAGTCCAAGCTGATTGTTTTCTATCATCTACATGTAAATATTCATAATTCAATAATTATTATGCACTTCCATTCCTTTTGTAACTACATTCTTGGTCCCTTTATCTTGTTTTATCTAAAATCCATCTTTCTGGTCTTTCTATCTTGATCTTTGACACACACGAAGTACACATGGACACGCGCTCACACACACACACACACACACACACACACACACACACACACACACACACACACACACACACACACAAACAGTCTCATCTCCTCTCTCATCATCTTGGCCTATATCTTCTCCTCATCTCTTTTTCCCTGCACTTCCCTCCATCTATCTCCCACTCAGATAACAGCGCTCAGGCCTGATTTGTTTGCATGCATGGCCGACACAGAGTCCCATTTCCATAATAGGCTTTCTTGTTGCCATGGTACTAGCATCATACATTAAGGCCCCATTTACTTAAGGCGGAGTTAACCATTGAACACATGGGGAAGGCAGTCAAACACCAATTTGCATATGATAAATGCATCACCTCCTATCACACGCATGAAGAATCGGGAGAGGAAAAGGCAATTTAAGGAGAGCTCTTGTGGTTCAGAGGGGGCTCAGCGTCTGATGATCTGATCTATAAAATGTCTAATGTGAGTATGTTGTTGGCATAATGACTGTCAATCAGCAGAGGAAAGGACTATGAGTGCTCCTCTAACTGGTGTACATGGTCCACTGTGCTCGATTCTCTTTGTGTCTGTTTGTGTGGACATCACTGTGTATGCAATATTGTTTTGTTAAACCAAATGTTATTTTTTGATTACTTAAAGTTGTATTTAATATTTCTGCATTTTAATATTTAAGTCAATAAACTAAAAAAGCTCTGTTGCAGCATTCATGTCATATTGTAGTAAAAATAATAAGCAGTTTACAGAGACAAATTAGAAAATAAAATGGATGCCTCACATCACCCGGAATTTGTTGTTCAAGAGATGTAATGCTAAAATGTTGATACACTGCATATTTTTTATCTTTACACGACCAATTCTGCAATCCTGCAGCCGTCCTGAGAAATCAGACTCTTTCCCATCTCTACCATTCCTCCCATATGACACAAATGTGCATGTGTGTGTTCACGCGTCTCTGTGTTGGTGCTGATATGGGAGAATAGATCTGTCAGTACGATAATGCAAATAAGCCAGTTCTATTCATTCGTGATTGATGTGTTACTTTTTGTTGACTTTCTGTGGAACAATCTGTCTTTTATTCTGTATCTTCACATTAACATAATTTGTAAAACAAGAAAAATTATCTTTAGTCTTTTACTTAAGTTTACTAAATGACTGATTATTTTCATGAACAATATATATATATATATATATATATATATATATATATATATATATATTTATAAAATATCAGAAAACACCATTGCAATTTCCCAGAGGAAAATCAAGGAGATTGCTTTTAATTGCTTTTTTTGGAACAAATAACTGTTTAAAACCAAATTAATTTAATTTCCAATCACATAAAACAAAAAACAAAAAAGTATCAATAAAAGGTTACTAGGGGAAATGTCAGACTTTTTGTAGTGTGTGTGTGTGTCTCTATGCTTTTCTCGTGTGTGTTTGCTTTTAACCACTGACAGATGGGCATGCATGTGCTTGATTACATATAATCAAGTACACAAATGGACTAACAATGTGTGCGTGATGCCTATTGCTAACTGAAGAAGCATCCCGTCCTCTTGGGACAGAAGCCTCAGCACCAATAAAGAGCTGTCTGTCACATCTACCCTGGCAGCACTCAGAGTGAGAAATAACCTCCCTCCACGCCCACCCGGTGAGAACTCGTTCTAATATTTATAGAGATATTAATATTGATGAGCTCCTTTTATTGGCCCATAGGTCTTTGTAATGGTTTTGTAACTGTTTACCCTATCAGCAGTTACACAGGGGGTTATGGATGGCTCAGTGCTCGAAATGTGGCAGATTTCAAGTTTTTTAGCAGTTTGAAATCTATATATGGATTAACAATTTTTAATACGATCGATCGCCATTCTGTTTATGTGTCCTTCTGAGGATCAGTGGCACAGGGTGAGTTTTCTCTTAGGTTTATTTCAATTTTCATTACATACCCTAGATCGGAAATGATGACAGACAGCAGGAAGAAAGCGTAAGGAGGAAGGTTACTTGTGGTAACTGCTGAAACTCTCTATAGGAGCTTATGATCATGGGAGTTTTTCATGCATGAAGGCTCTCAGTCCACCGTCCACCAGGAAATGCCTTTAAAAAACACTGATGAAGACAAAATGCCTATGTGTCTGTATTTAAAATCTCTGCATGAGTGAAGCTGGTCCTGTGTGTGTGTAAGTGAGGGCACACTCTGAATTCATTTACATTGCTATGGTGTGCGCTTTCATGTGTATATACAGTGGGTCCACATGCACGTGTGTCTCCAGGGCACAAATACACACACACACACACACACACACACACACACACACACACACACACACACACACACACACACACACACACACACACACACAGATAGCATGAGCTGGAGGGCAATGAGCTCAGTGTCTGGTGGATTAAACGCGTTGTGAGTAAGCAGCAGAATCAGAGAGGGAAACGCTGAGTGATGCTTTCTAGGACTGAAGCTCACATGGCATCCTCTTAGTGTGTGTGTCTGTGAGGAGAGAGAGAGAGAGAGAGAGAGAGGGTTTTGTGTGCCAGCATCAAAGCCTACTGTCAGTCAGTTTTATGGAGTTAATAAGCAAAAACCTCAAGTCAACTGTCACAAGAAGGGGAGCTTATTTACATTTATGTGACAACTAGAAGCCTAATTATTCCAATATAGTGTCACATATAAGAACTCTGTGTACTGACAGCAGATGAGCTTCAGATAAATGCAGATATAATGAGCTTTATTAATATAAGATAATGTTCCTCTTGTTCAGGGGGTGGCATCTTCCACTGTTTGCACATTGGAAATAGTAAGATCCACACTATGAGACACATAATCTCATATGCACAATTCTTTACTGCACCTTCAAGACTAGCATCCTCCAAGGGTCGTGTGTGGTCATTACCTCGTCATCATCTGCGTCGTACTGGGCGTACTGCTGCTCCAGCAGCTCTCTCTGTCTCCTCTCTTGATCCAGGGTCTGCTGGATGAGTGTGGCCACCTCACTCTGCTGGCCCGGACGCTCTCGGCCAATCACAAACCTGCAACAACATGCACTGCTGTAGACAGTCCTGGCAACACATACCCTGAGCCAACCAGCCCAGGATTATATAACTATTACTGGACATTTCGATGGAAAAACATTTACATGATGCTTAAAACAGTTGTTTTAAGCATAGTTGTTAAAGTTGTCATTACAAGCATCTAGACTGTGTTTTACACAGTGTGTCATCATGGCCTGTGTCATTTCTTCCTTTTGTTTCTTCGTGGTTTCTGAAGCAAAAGGTTACAATAGGAAGTTAGGTCTAATAAATGCTTGTATAAAACAATATCACACATTTTAAAGGGTCTACCATTACCTTATTTATTTATGGTGACTATTCATTTAACAATGTCACAACAACATTTATAAATGAGACCGGACAACACCTTCAAACCAATTATCAACATTTTTTTCCCCAAAAGTTTGCATTAAGATATAAAGGGTACATGCACATCATATTTGATACCTATTTCCTTTTTAAAACCTACATAAACATGTATATATACTGTATTCCTGCTCAAATTCTTTGTCTCTCTCTAAAAGCAGTGTGTATTTATACAGTGAAATTACCACAGCAGTCACTATGGGAGAGCAGCCAAGGCCCACAGCCACATAGCACTGACAGCGATATCTGCTGACGTATCAGGGCAGGGCTGGGAGACGGGACACACATAATAATGTGAAAAGGCAGTGAGCTCAGCCAGCCAGCCAGCCTGTTATTAGCCTGGCATGGAACTAAATGGAGGAAGCCACAGGCTGTGCCTCCGAGCTACTGACTACTAACTACTGTAGTTACACATGGGACCTACATGCAATACATATCACATTCAAATGTAGACAAAGCTGAAAAATAGGCAATCACTTCCTCCCAAATACAATCCTTTCTGCAAATTTAGTGTTTATATGTTTGTCTGTATAACAGGGACAAAAAAGTACGTAGTCATATAAGATTCAAGAGTACATAGTTCATATGATCATACATCTATAAAGGGAAGAGGCAGAATTATGTCCTCCTCCCTCCATTCACCGCAAATAGTCGTATGGCTACTCAAAAGACAAAAGCAACTGTGTATAAGAACTTCTCAGACCTATTCCAGGAAATATCCAATCCAACAGGGGCACAATAACTGTGTGTGTGGGCGTGTGAGCATGTTCCTGTCTTCTGTATGTGTACAAGTAAGAGTAGAGTGAGACAGGGAGACAGACAGGAAGAGATAGAGAGAGGGAGTGGATTCGAGATAGGCCATAATCAAGTGAATTCAGTTCCCGAGAGCTCTTTCATATATTTCTAAAGGCGATGTGGAAAAGGCCTTACGCTCCAGCAGAGAGGCGTATTTGATCTACATGTGAAGAAACAACTAAAAGGGCAGGACAGAGATAGAAAAAAAGAAAAGAGAGAGAGAGAGAGAGAGAGAGAAGGCCCTGGCTAAGTTAAGTAGCCTTTGGACAGCAGGGAGGTCTGAGGAGCAGCTGACCTGGAAACAGCCATTCTCCTCACGCATGGAGAGTCTGTCTTGGTTCCTCCCTGCCTCCCACTGTTCCAGGGCTACCACACACAGTGCTGCCTCAATTTAGAAACCTTCACTTCTGATCTCATTTACGCCAATTTATACAGACGTGGCTCTTACAGTTACAAATACAGTACGGTGCAGGAACTTGAAGGGAGAACATTTGTAATTTGAGTGAAAAAGAAAGCTCAAAGTGATGCTGGGAAAAGTGCTACAGGACCCACGTCTTCTCCATTAGGTAGCACTTGTTTGGTTATGACAGATATGACTGGTCGACCATGCTGGAGATGTGATATCTATTATAAGGTCATGTAGATATTTCCTCTTTTATTGATTTTTTTTCTGTATGTGAGGAAATTTGGTGGTTCAAATTAGACTTAGTTAAAGGGTGTGTGTGGTGTTGTTCTTAATCATTCTGTCAATATATTCTGACTTCTCCGTCTGTGGAGTTCGGCCCATTTGTCCTACTGAAGACGTAAATCTTTGAAAGCAGGCCACAATTTTATAGTTTCATTTTTTCAAAAGGCTAAGAAGTTTCCTATAACAGCTGAGCACTGTAGTTTTCAGCACAGTAGATGAAGCTGAATAAACTACAGTGCCCATCTCCATCATAATGTAGGAACATGTCATCCAGTGCAACAGCGTGACGTGTTTTTAATAGCTTTTGGACAACTATGGCACAAAGGAATAAGCTATATCAGGTTTTGGCACCACAGTGAATTCTTAGGTAGAAGTATGAATTCATTGTTGGTTTTGGCTTTTTCATAGGATTTGTTTACAGAAAAATTAATATAGAATATGACCAACCTTTAAAACTGAAAAGGACAATCAATGGAAGAAAGTTCGTAGTTAATGCTTTTATGTAATACAGCAATAAACTCATGTCAGCTTGACCTAGATTTTCAGATTATTACGTTAAAGGTCCAGTGTAACATTTAGGAGGATCAACTGGCAGAAAAGGTATAAAATATTCACAGGTATGTTTTCATTAATGTATAAACACCTAAATACCTTTATAATCAGTATAGGTGCATCAAACCATTCAGAATTGTACCATGCAGTGTCAGTGAAAAGTGAGGACTGTCCTCATGTTTTTCTGCATAGACATAACTGATCATTGGTGAATTTAAAGGACCTTTATTAGGGGCCTTCAGGTTGTTGGTACTCATGTATGATGCTGTACGGTGGAAGTTTTGTTCATTTGGCTGAAATTAGGTCCAAATTCAGCAACTGTTTTTGTGTGTTTCCTCACAGGTGATCTATAAGACAGGTGCTTTACTACATTTTACTACAGGGGGATGGGGAGGGGACCTGGATGATTTGCTGCTGGAAGTCAGGGTTAAATATAGCTAAAATGGCAAATCTAGGACAGTTGGCCATAAAACCTCTGGTGATCAGACAGAGAGAGTCGAAGGATTTACCGAGGAGGAGGAGGAGGAGGAACGAGTGGGTGAGACATGATAGAGGAAGACTGAAACAGTGAGAGAGCAGAGAGGGAGAGGAGAGTGAAAATAGGTCTGGGTGATTCTATTACAACTTTTTAGTATTGTATTCATGTGCTAGGTTTAAATATAAAATGTCTATTTTCATATGTAATTCACTGTAATTATTATATATATATTATTTAATAGGCAGATTAGACTATACAGGATTATACTCACTCCTCATATTAATCTATTTGTGCTTGCTAAATGGATGGACAGGTGATAGATGGGATCTTTTCAAGGCTGCCTCACCTGTAGTGCCACATCCTGGTATGTGGAAAACCTCCATTGTCAATATTAGTTCAGCAAACAGCATCTGTCCAGCCTGGAGTCTGTTCTGATACTGTTGGACATGTCTTTGTTCAGCCACCAGCTTTTCCCCCGGGCACTCTACTCTCCACACACCCATCTATCTTTCCACGGCGGAGTCCCACGGAAAATGTGTCGACCAGAATAGGATTGAGGTTGAAAACCACACTGAGGCCTTGGATTATTTAACACCAATATTACAGCTGTCTCACTGCGTGTACTGTGCCATCAATGAATTCAACCAGATAGTGGCATGAACAGAATAAGAACCGAAAGAGGTGTGAAAACTGCATACAAGACATAAGGAGAAGAAGAAAGTGGAATAGTGACAGAGAAGAAGAGTAAAAAGAAGAGTCAGACAGGATGGGGAGTGCACAATGGCAGACGATGTTGGTGAAACACAGAGAAAAGACAACACTACAGTAAACCATACTAAGAAAAAGCAAAGACAAGAGCGAGAAACAACAGAAAGCAGAATTGGCAGGCTCCTAACATTGCCAAGGATAGCACCAAATTTCCAAATCAAAGCCTTCCTGCCATGCTGTGTGTGTGTGTGTGTGTATTGTCTGCTCCCCACGGCTCTAAGCCGACCCCTGCCAAAAACTGCTCGACTGTCAAACACACAAGACTTTTGTCACATATTGTGTTCCCACATCTTCACCCATCTCAGATATGGTAATGACACTAAGAGGGCCTGCCAAACAAAATCTCTCCGAGCATGGCTGCTTAAGCGGCTGCGTTTGCAGATTTTGCACCGTGACAGCAGGACGAACAGCATTCAGAATTATACATGCAGTGGCAGTGTAAAGTGAAGACATGTACATTGCTCAATCTAAAGGACATTTTTAGAGGCTTTAGTTTGTTAGTACTTATATCTGACGTTGTCTTATTCATTGGGCTGCTTGACACACTTTAGTTTCTATAATCTTATGGTAATCCTCATCAGATGGTGAAAACATACAAACATACAAAATCAATGTGTTTTTGCAATGAAAAAAAAACTACATTTAATCAAGCACTGAATCAACATCTTAGATTAGTCCCCATCCACTTTAAAATATGTTTAACTAGTATTGGATGTTTGCGCTTCACTGTGCAGAATGATGAAAGTGCAGAGTGTGACACTAAAAGGATGTTTTCACATTTATCTGCTGAAAGTGAACAAGGAGCTTTTGAAAGGCGGGGCCTATGAGCACGATTTGTGACATCACAAATACTTTGGAAGTCAAATGGTAAATGGTAAATGGACCTGTACTTGTATAGCGCCTTTCTAGTCTTCCGACCACTAGTTCACCTTGTTACGAGAATTTTCTTGAATGTGAATTTTTTTAATAGTAATGAAGTCACTGGCATCCCTCCGTCCTGTCTGTAGAAAGTCCACGTTGAAAGGATCTCACTTCAGCAGCAGAATCGTGGGACTGATGATTAGCTTTTGATTTAGGCTTGTGTTTCTTTGGGTCTTACCTGACCACTCCTGATGTGTTCCTGAGGACGGAGGCAGCGAAGCTCTGTGTGACACCCACCAGACTGGTCCCATCCACCTCCACGATCTGGTCATTCACCTTGATCCTGATCACACACACACACACACACACACACACACACACACACACACACACAAATTAATCATAATTTGCATCATTCAACATAAGTGTTACTGTCTTTGGTTGATTCTCTTGAAAATGACTAACTAGTCTACAAAAATAAATGCCAAAATACCATCATGACTTATGCAGCTAAACTACTACAAGAGGCACAAGGGACAAACAAACTGGCCTATCATGCATATTCTGATTATTTTCACAATAACAGGGCCAGACTTTCCACTGCAATAGCTCCAGACTATTCCCTAACCAAGAGACAGAAGTGATGAGGCTCAAAACAAACTAGGAGGGCCAATGAGGACATGGAGGCCAGTGAGCCATTCCCTGGGCCACAACACAGCCGACATTTTTGCTCTGCTCTGGACACGATGTGAGGTCAGCTAAGCTCCTGACCTAAAATGAAACTCCTGATGATCCACTATTAATGACAGAGGATCATGAACAAATCCATTCAAAGAGACGTCCTCACTCAATATTTAATTCAAATCTACTTAGAAATTTGCATAAAAACAAGACTTTTTCTTTGACACATGAATAAAACAAAAAGTAACTCTCATTATTTTTCAACAAAACAGCATATTGTTCTTATACTTCCCTGCTTGAAGGCACAACACATGCATCATTTTCTTCTACAACAAACCACTTTGGTCTCTTCTCCTTCTACTAGTGCTAACAACATGCAAGGAGCCTGCAAAAATTTAGGACTTCCACAAGTTTATAAGCACGGACGATTCAATTACACTATCCAACTATCACATTTTCATTATATGAAATGGTCAGTACAACCACTCTTGAGACTGGAGAGTGATGACACTTGTGAGAATTGAGAGGATAATGAGCTACTGTTTCATGAGAGTTTTAACTAGTTCTACAGAGATCAATGAACATGCACCATTACAGATTCTATTTACCTGAACCTTTAGACAAACTCATTCTACCTCACGCAGAATTTCTAAATATAATGAAATACATCCGAACCAGCTGACTTCAAGCGAAACGTTTGCACATTACAGTTGAAGTTTTGCACAAATTTCCTGCAAAGCCAAGATCAAAATCAAGCAATGTTCTCTGATGGCTGCATCCGTAACTGGAGTAACCAGCATCCTTTCAGCTCCTGTCTCACTCTGTCACAACATAAAGCAGCTGCATAGCAGGATTTAATATGACAGTGACACATCAACCAGAGCTGTCACATGGATGTATGGAGCCTGAGAGGTAGACAGGGTGAGAGCTGGTTGTCTGTCAGTCAGCAGCTCGGACGCTTTTCTGACCTTTATGGCATCAAACATCTCAATTTGGCTTTGTGTGGCCGAGGCTGGTTGACACACATATATGCATACAAGTAAACCAAAACACACATACACACCTTCATCTCATAACCTCCATCTCACCTCAGTACACACACACACACACACACACACACACACACACACACACACACACACACACCTAGGGTCATCTGCACCAGACAATACAATGAGCCACAGCCAAGCCCAGCTATCTGTCTGCCTGCGAGTGTGTGTGTGTGTGTGCGCGTCAGACCATTGAGTCTGACTCAGCAAGAGAGAGAAAGCCCTATAGCTGGAAAAGGTAACGAAGGAAATTACATTCTGGCTGGTGACTCCTGGTGTGCGTGTGTGTGTGTGTGTGTGTGTGTGTGTGTGTGTGTGTGTGTGTGTGTGTGTGTGTGTGTGTGTACTGAGGTGAGATGGAGGTTACTATAACTAATATTGTCTTCAGTTAATTCATCTTATATTGTGATGAAAGTTTATTTTGAAATCCATGGGGACACAGGCAGATTCAGAAAAACTGATTATTATTGCAACCAAAAGATTGTGGATGAGGGGGCGTGTGCATGGCTTGCATACTAAAGCTTGTGTTCGTTGGAACAACAGTACTACTGTCTACATAAGATTTTACTGATTTTATTATGTGTGGTCACCAGTGTTGGGCAGTAACGTACTAGTAATAGTATTACTTTCAAAAGTGATGAGTAGTGTAATTAATCTCTTTGAAAGATTTTTTTTTAGATACATTAAAAAGAGAAAAAAGGAAATGATCTCAATTTAATGAATATGGCATTTAGTAATGTATGACACCAAAAAAATATATCTCAAACAACATATGCTTATTGTGAACGTTTTTCGTATATATTTTTTGGTCTTCATATTGAGTCTACATGTGCAGTTTGAATAGAAAATATGCAGGCTAAGTCAAAATGAGGGACGAAGAGTCTGCAGTCACACTAGCAGCTCTGTGAGACTGTATGGGCTGTACTTAGGCACAGACTGTGGTTTGAGCTAAATGCTAACGCCGGCATGCTAACATGTTCACAATGACAATGACGACAGAGAATGTCTAATATGAACATGTATAATATTTACCATTTTCAACATCTTATTTTAGCCTGTTAGCATGCTAACACTTGCTAATTCACACTAAACACAAAGTAGACTTCTCCCTCTTGGTACCATTAAAGTCACTGTAGAGAGATGAGAACCAGTAAAATTTACAACTTTATTTAAATGCTCATTTTAAATAAAGGAGAAAAAGGCTCAAATCTGCATGCTCAGAAATGAACTGAACTTGAGCTTTAGCACAGCCTTCCTCTGATCTTTTCATACTTGTCCCCCTCACTGAAAGAAATGAGACTTTTTGGAGTCAGTGCGACTGTCATCTTAGAACAGGATCAACTTTTGTCACTTTTGAACAAGCTGTTTCTTTTCCTCACTCTCTATTCCTTTCTCCCCCATCTCTCTGCTCACTACATTATAACTAATCTCGCTCACGTGTGTTGATGAAAATGCTAACCCTAAAATTAATCCCCAAATGAAAACACACCTACCGCAAACAACCCCAGTGCACTAGAGTTCCCGGTGTGTATGCTGAGCTTACAGTACTTACTGCTCTCACACTGCATGGAATGGAAGTGCCTATCTGGTTTTTTAATCTGTTTATGGGGAACCTGAACCACACAGATACACTAATAGGTAGAAGCTGGTGGTTTAGAGGCAGAAAACCACAGCTCGCCTGCTGGGAAGCTGTCATTTCCTCCTCTACCCCTGGCTGAGTTGCTTACTCTGCACTGTTCACGCTTTATAATGCACACAGACACAATACAGTTTCTCCCTCTCAACAAGACACACACACACACACACACACACACACACACACACACAGACATCTTCCAGGGACATACATAGAGACACACTGTGAATATGGAGGTCTATTAAAAAAAAGTCTCTCATTTTCTGCAGACTAACTTTTGCAAACTGACACAGAATACAAGAGATAATACACTCTAATGCGATGTCTCTGTCACACAATACACTTACAGTGCACACACCTACGCACTGTACAGTCCTGTGTGAGACTTCATGTCCCAGACTGTGCCTCTCCCAGTGGATCTAATCCCAACCCCTGCTGCTAAATCTGACAGGGACAAAGTGTGGCTCTGTGTGTGTGTGTGTGTGTGTGTGTGTGTGTGTGTGTGTGTGTGTGTCTGTGTGTGTGTGAGAGGGAGAAGAGGTGGTGGTGGGTAAATGGAAACCAAACAGCTGATTAATTGCTGTGTGTATTTTTGTACAATAAGTGAAATGTGAATCTTTGTCCCAGCACACGCTGAGCTTTCACATGCTCTCATCTGCTTTAACATGTCTCCAGACTCATTAATCGCTCACTGATATGTGTGATATCCAGCAAGGAAAGCAGCTCTCACCGGCCGTCTCTCTCAGCAGCTCCGCCCTCAATGACGGTCTTGACGAAGATGCCCAGCTTCTCCAGGCCTGCGTCAGCACCGACGCCCATCCCGATGATACTGATCCCCAGGCCGTCGTCGTCTGAAATCACACGGACCACGTAGTTAGTTGTGGTTTCTGTAAGTGTGCGATGGGGCACAGCAGGGTTAAGGTTCTCCATATCGTAACTTTCCAGTGAGCTTGGATCAAACTCAAAATGGCTCCTAGTAAACTGATGTCAGGTAGATGGAGGGATAAATACACTCAAACAGAAGAACAACTGATTTATTAATGGGGAAGACTAGATATTTACTATTGGCCTGGTAGCATACACATAAAAATGAAACGTGCTGAATGGGAAATTCCCTTCCAGTGTAGCATCCGTCCATCTCTATTCCGCATTAATTATTCACAAGTTGTTAGGGTTACATAATGGGGGTGTGGATTGTGAAACCTAGAAGTCTTTCTATTTTAGGTCCTTGGCAATACTGGATTTCAACACAGGAAAAACCTCAACAGGAAAAGACAAGTGAAGAAGATGAAATATCACCTCTTTGTAGCTCATGCTGGGGAATTAGAACAAACTATGCTCTACAATGTCTTTTAATGTGATCTAAGGAGATTTGTAGTGAACACTGCATTTAAACAGGATGCTTAGAAGCAGTGAAATTAACCAGCCTTATCTTCAATGGTTGGGTCAGAAATTCAGTAAATCATTACAGAGGAAAAGAAAAAACTGAAGAACCTACATAGATAGATAGATAGATAAAAATAGAAATATGCCACCTTTAATTTTATTTTAGTGACATCCCATATGTGGGTGAATCTGTCTGCTGGGTATAATGTATAACTGACAAGATCCACCTCCTCGTTACAATGTTCTTAGATTTGCTTTCCCACCTTTCTCCAGCTCCACAGGGAAGAGCTCCAGTTTCTCCACCCTCTTCTCCAGCTCATACTCTGCGGAGGAGGCCACAGGATCCACCTCTTCGTTACGTCGGTCGTAGTCCTCATTGGAGTAGGTGTTGAACACCTGGAGAGGGAGCACAAGGAGTTAACGGAAGTGGGCGCACGGAATTAAATATAGCAGCTGGTTTAAGTCATAGAGGTAGAAATCACCTCTACCACATGCGGCATGATTCTGGATTTAAATTAAGTTTTAGAAAGGCATTACTGTACCTAATGGCTAATAATGAGTAAGTAAGTTTACAATGCTGTACTTATTAGCAATTACAACTCATTCAAGTATGACAAGACACTTTTTTTGAATGATAACATTGGTTGCTCTCCAGGCAGAGTAATGCTCTTATTTTACAAGTTTATGACTGTTGGTGGAAGTAAATAAGAGCTTTTGTGTTCCAAACCAATAGTTATCTACACAATATAGTAAATAAAAACCCAGTGTAACAAAGCCACAACTACAACCAGCCCATTAACCAACAGGAAACTGTAGTGTAGAGAAACATAATGTGGTGAAGAGGGATAGGGAGGCCTTTCTCCTCCTCTAAGCTGCGTGGCCCTCGTAAGAATCTTTCTTCCACAGCAAGAGGCAGGCCGTCACTTCACATCTCATCCCGGGCCAAGCGCTCCCACTGCTCTCTGCACCAAAGAGGAAGGGGAGGAGGTGAGATAGCTGTGCACAAGCAGACTCCAACATGCATGCTGTTGTCACGTCTGTAGTGCGGCGTTCTGCAGAATGCTGGCTGATGGTGCTGAATTAAGGGGTATGCGTAGTCTACACGCAGAAATATCCCGGATGACGCTATAAGCGCCATCCTGGCTGTGTGTGTGTCAGACACCTGCAGACACACACTGATTGCAGCTGCTATCCCAGAAAATCTGAGAAATTAGCAACATTCACCACATGGCTCCTACAGGCAAGGAGATCGGGGGAGAGGGATATCGCACATTTAGCTTGATTACGTCAATCATTATCAAAGTTATTCTCGGTGCTGTGATCACATGAATCAGAACTACAGCAGATGAGGGAAATAAACTGAGGAAATGCACTGAGGATGCAAAGTTTTATCACATCCTGTAATGTCACCGAGCAAGTCAGCCACTTCCTATCTCAGGACCCTGACCTTTTTTGAATAGAGTGAAAGAGGAAATATAATCTCGGCAGAGATCAATAAGGCGACATCTCACATCACATGCAATGACTTAAGCTAGATTTATGTTCATCACTTGGTAGGTATGTGTGCAGGAACAGAAGAAGATCTCAGCTGAGTACGGACAAACACAATAACCCGCAAACAAGTTCAAAACATTAAAAAATGCATGAAAAATGACAGTCAAGATATTTGTGCTTTTAGTTAGCAATTTTTCCACGCTGTAGCAGATGTAGCAGGGGCTTGACTAATATCTTATATCTTACAACAAGATAAAGACGCAACAAACTACAGTAAATAAATAAATAAGCGGCACTACATTTAAGAGACTCTGTGCTGGTTGTTCACGCAGCTTGGGCACATTGATGTAGCGTGATGCTGCCAGGGTTGGTTTTTATTCTTTCCTCTGTGTGAACCTGCGTGAGCTCTAACCATGACCTCGCTGTCATCAATCATTCAGTGTGATCAACAGCTCTGCATTATTAACAGCCCCATGCACACACACACACACATGCACACATCCATACACACGTCACATATATACATGTACATAATGTTGTGCCTCTGATTAAAGATATATAAGCACACAAACACTCTGAATGTTCTCCACACACACACACACACACACACACACACACACACACACACACACACACACACACACACATACATACCAATGCACAAACACACATTGCTGACAAATGCTAACACCAGCACTGTCCTGGATGTCCTGGACACGATGCTACCATTGGCAGTCAGTACACTCTCTAATGGCCTCTCTCTGTCACTGTGTGCTATCTACAAACACATTAGCATGTGGCCAGTCAGACAGAGTGAGAGAGAGAGAGAGAGAGAGAGAGAGAGAGAGAGAGAGAGAGAGAGAGAGAGGTCATGAAGAAAGATGAGGACAGATGAGGGTGGATCTGTGAGAGGAGGCAAGTGAAAAAGAGACAGAGGAGGTTCAGCGATGGAGATAGATAAGAAAAGGGCCAGAGAGGGAATTCAAAACAATCTGAGAGACAGATGAACTGAGAAGGCACAGGATGGACAAGAGAGCAATGGTGACTGAGAGACAGAGAGTGACAAGTTAAATGAAAGAGTATGCACATGGGAAATAAGAATAGGTAGGCAGAAAGAGAGAAAGAGAAACGGAGAGACAGACTGCATTATCAAATGGAAAGCATTTACCCACAAGATAAAGGAACCTGATGGCTGTCTGGCTCTAAGCAGAGACTACTGGGATATATCTCCATATTGTCTGAAAAAACATCTGGTCCCCTATGAGGACAGGCCATGTCCAGTCAATTCAATAAATATTAAGGCACCCAAAGAAAGAACACAGCTCAAAAATTACCCTTCCTACATTTTCGGAGCCATTTTTATCTACAGAGGGAGCAGTTCCTCTTGTAAGTCCACCATTTTGAACTGCCATGTTTCTACAGTAGCCGAGAACAGACAAACCAAACACTGGCTCTACATAGGGCCTTTAGATTTTTGTGGCCACCGTAGTTCCTCCTGCATGCATGACAGACTGAGCAGTATTCAAATGGTTCCAACCTGCAACTTTACTGCTAGATGCCACTAAAATCCTACACACTCTCCATTTTGATAACAGATTCAACTTATGTTTTATACGTTTATCATAAATTAAGCGACATTTTCATATTGATGTATATAATATCTTCTTCTTCTCTCTAGATAATTGGAAACACGTTCTGACTTGAAGCAAGGAGGAGGGATAAGGGAAAAATGAGATGGTACAATAATGTGTGTGACTGTGTTTAACCTTGGCAGTATGGTAGGACACTGCTGCCTGCTGCTTGTTTTACTACAGGGAGCAGAAAAATGGGCAGAGTACAGGACCAGGCCTGCAGCTGGCAACCACAAGTCTGACAGCTGTGGAAGACACAGTTAAGGCTGCAGCTAACCATACATATAATATATAATAGCTATATTATATAATACAACATTGACTTATTACATATATATATATATATATATATATATATATATATATATATATATATACACCTCTGCCCTTCATGGAGATATTACAGGAATGGCTGACTGCATGGCTCTTGCGATTGGCAAGGTTGATGTGTTGGTTGGTCAGCCAGTCCACCACTTTGTTTCAGAGTTAAATATATAATATATAACCTTAAGATGGATTGCCCTGAAAGAAAAATGCCCTGATGTAGTAAAATTCATGGGGTCCAAATGATTACTTCTACTGACTTTTCCCCTAATGACACTAAATGACACTATGAAGTTGATATATGTTGTTCAAAAACCTTGACAACTACCTGACTGATTGAACTTTGCTTCAAATATTTTTAGTCCCTAGTGGATACATTTGAATGACTTTGTTGATCCCCAGACCTTCCCTCTGGCGCCACAAACAGGTTTACATTTTCGTTTCAGAGTTAAATACGTTGATGACTATGGGATGGCTATGAAATTTGGTTCATACATTCATGTTTCCCACAGGATTAGTCCTACTGACTCTGATGATCCACTAACTTTGTCCCAAACTGGTTCATGACCAAATACCTGCTAATTCGCAAATGTTAGCATGCTATTGCTCTAAAATAAGATGATAAACATGGTAATGATTATATATACTGTCAATGGATTAAACACGTTAATCACTGCCTCCCAGAGTTTACATGGCTGTACATTTGTTTTAAAGGTTCTAAAGGAGAAACGTTATTGCAGGCTTTCACAGAATGTACAATCTGAGGCAAACAAACAGGGTTTGACAGAGCTGAAACAACCCAACATTATCTGCATGTAGGGAATGACTCAAGAGATATAATAAATCTTGACAGCTCCATCAAACCTATATGACGCGTATCAATACGTTGACCCACATAATCCAATAAACTGATCCCTTGGAAACAGCGATGTCACAGCATTTCAAACTTATCTGCTTTAACAGTGTGAAATCTATATCCTGATCACGTCAAGATGACAAACACCTACAGATTTCAACTTTCAAGTACAGTTGGTGTGTGCTGAGGTAGGTCATTTTGCTCGACTGTAATTCCATTTTTATTGAAGAGGCAGTGGACAAGGACAACCACTAAATGTGGAAGTACAACGGAGTATAATGTGCCGTCTCCCCATGTGATGCCCCTCTGGAATTGAATTGGAAAAGTCTTTTGGAGGATTAAACACAACACACAACCGTTTACATGTAAATATATTCCTCTACACTGCCTGCACTTCTTTTCAGGCTTAACGCATTACTATGGGTGAAAAAAGCTTGTGCCAACAAAAACCTGATTTTGAGGATTGATATAAAAGTGCCTTATTTTCAGATGGCTGGGCACATACATTTAAAATAATAAAATATGGTTCAAAATAGTTTTATGGAGTCTAATGGTGCCTGCTGGGTACATCTTGTTATCAAATTTTAACGGAGAAAAATCAAAAACTTCTGCACATTATATTACATAATGATAATACATGTACGAACCATAACATCCTCTTAAGATGGGAGCCAGTAAATACACTCGTCTTCTTACACCCACTCTTTCAGTGTAATATCACTTTGAATCCACCCACGCACTCATACACACACACACACACACACACACACACACACATACAGTACGCATACAGGCACACCACTTTCTCTGATATCTAACATACACACTGTAATATCTGATAATGACTACCTCTCTTCTTTCTCATTTTGTCATTCCTCACTGTATCAACCAATATCTCTTCTCTTCCTCTGCTGAGCCTCATATTTCATCCAAACAACACACTGATCGATGCCCCTGACACCAAAACACACATTTTAGTGTGTTGTCAGTAATCAAACCCCTTGAAATGGACTTACTGGCACTAAAGTGCGGACAGCAGTTCTGTTTGGGCATCCACAGATTGGCAGTCTCGTTATCTGATCTCCAGGAGG